GGTTCCCAGGAATCTTTTTAGCATGAAATTAGTCCAGATTAATCATGTATTTAAACAAACTTTTAGATCATTTTTTGTTAACCGCGATTAAAGCCTTAATTTGAGTTTTGTAGTAACCCTCAATCGGACCTGTAATATTTTTTCACCATGTAACTTGACGGCGCCAATATCTTTCATTAGTAGTAGTAGTTTGTAGTTTGAATTCAAATCGGAATGATCTTTATAATTTTAACTGGAGTGAGATCTTCTCGCATGCTAGTGTGGATATTTGCTATGAACATTTTTAATCTTCTCTCTCTATTGTTATCAATAAGTATGCTAAAATAGAGCTCCAAGTTCTTTTAGACTTTACTGGTACACGCGCAGACCTAAGAAATACAAAAACCTACTGTAGGCTTTGATCGGTACAAGCCCGAACTCGATTTCTTGATACAGTCAATACATTACAGACGTGGAAAAAAATGGTTACCTACACTAATTCACTTTGTCATTAAAAAAAAAAAATAACGGTCTTTCTCCTTTCATTTCGAAAAACTGTTTTTAAGTTCACTGCGGCCCACTTAAAATCATTTTTAATAAATCTCTTTTAGTGGGGTGTTCATTCAAAGATTGAAACTTGCCACAGTTTCTCAGATTTTCAATTCCGGTGAAAAAAAAAGCTCAGCAAAGTTTCCGAAATGTGTGAATGAATTTTGGCTAGGCAGCTGGTGTTTCTTCCTGGGCACATTATTAGTCCTAACCAGCATATATTAATGACTTCGACAAATCTAGTCATGTTTAATAGCTTTTGTATTATTGTTTTGTTGATATTGTTTACACAGATTTTGCCAAAGCGTTTGAAAAAATCTGTCACAAAGCTCTATTGGCTAAACTTATCAATCTTAAGCTGGATAAGATCCTATTTGAAGGAGAGGGGAAGACAATGGCTTTTTCTCTAACTCGTATATAAGCCATTGTATTGATGATATTAACATATTTAAGTATATTAACTCAGTTTTTAATAGTCAGCTTCTCCAAATGACTTCAACAGATTAGGTTTTTTGTGCTCTCGAAAATTACTGCCGCTAAACTTTTGAAAATGCTTTTTCAATCATGTGCTTTGCTCGTATTTTATTAATACTTATTCTCTGCCCTCAAGAAATCAGTCCCTTGACTTAAGAGTTAAATTTGATTCCAAATTTCTCTTTCTCGAGCATATTAACTACATAATTCCGAAAGCATACGCTATGTAAGGCTTTGTTAAGCGCAACATTGTGCAGTGTTCCGATTCATAAGCCCAGTTTGTTTTCGTCATTTGTTAGGTCTAAACTTGAATATGCTTCGTTCGTCTGGAATCTGACTGGTGCCATACATATTCGCCGTATTGAGCGTGTTCAAAAGCTTTTTTTACGTTTTGCCCTTCATTCTCTTAATTTTCACGATTTTGCTTCTTCCTTTTCTGCTAAATGTCGCCTTCTACATCTTTCTTTACTTAAGGACCGCAGAAAAGTATACACGTTTATCTTTATCCTTGATCTGCTCGGGGGCAGATAAGACTGTTCAGCGTTGCTTAGTTCAAATAATATACCTGTCCCAGGAAGATCTCTAAGAGCAATGTACTTCTAATTATGGTTCTAATGGGCCTATTCGCAGAGCACTGACGATAATGATAAAACAAATAAAAGTGAGGATAATGATAAAACAAATGAAAGTGAAAATAATGATAAAGCAAATGAAAGTGAGGATAATGATGAAACAAATGAAAATGAAACGAAGGAAGATGTTATTGGAAATAACATAGATAATAAGGCGAATAAAGTAATTGAGGACAGCACAGCAAATAAATTGAATAAGAATATAAACAAAACAAACATAAATGAAAGGACAATAAAAAAGAATATAAGGACATAAAAATGGACAAGGAGAGTCTTTAAAATAAGTCATTTAAAGTGTATAATACTAGAAGCAAGGCCAAAAGAATTGAATAATGACTCTTTGAATGGTTGGTTCTTTCTAACTAAGCCAGGATCAGGAGATCTTTGTCGGCCAGGATGACCGAGTTATGGGAGCGCTAATCATATTTGTTAATACTTATACACATAGTATCTCTAAACATCTCCATATATACACTGTCTGATATTTAGATTTTTACACTCTCTTAAAGTTCCTAGCTGTTAAGATAATGTTAAAACGAGATAATAAATGTTTCAATCTGCTACACCAGTTAATACGCTTTACATTCGCTACAATGGCTTTAATTCCATCAACTGTGGAAAGTGGCAAAAATATTCTACTGAAAGTGAATAACGTTAAACTTGTTTCAAAGATTTTTTATTATAAACTTGTTTTTAAATTGACTGGTACAACAATGTGAGAACATGAATATTTTCTTTTTAATATTTTTATTATTGGCTGAGTGAAGCAATTTGTTGTAAGATAGTTGGTTGCTCGTAACTACAAATGATTGTGTTCCATTGTGCATCCAAGAAACACAAGTGAAAATGGTACATTGTCAGTAAGATAAATGAGCCGATTGAACTTAATTTTGGTTTAACAGACGATAGCTTTCATATGAATCATTCTGTAAAATTGTTTCGCTTTTTCCTATTAATAATTTTCTAAACTGAAAATACTTAAGTTGTACTCAGTTAATAAATGAATGAACATTTAATGTCCTTAACTTAATCGTTAACGGATCCATGCGTCTCGCTTTTATGAGAGTTTCTGTGTACTCAAACTAAGGTTATTAAGTTTCTTCATAGCATCATGAGCCAGACGCAGTTTCCGACCCTATAAAATATATATATTCTTAGTTCATGTATAGCTGCCATAGGCACGATCGAATAATTGTTTTTTAACATATACGCAAAAATAATTTGAAAGTGAAAGTGTTCTAGCCAGCGAAATAATAGCCATCTATCAAATCTGTATAAAGAAAAGAGGCGAGCACGCCATATGTTCAGACTCCCTTTCCTCCATCACCTCCATCGCAAATCCTAACAATAATTCCTACTATCCCACCTCTAACCGAAATCTACATTCCAAGCACTTTCCCAAAATAATAATAATGTGAACACCAAGCCATGTTGGCATCAAAGGAAACGAAACATCCCCTTATATATATAGACAATCACAACTCCAGACATATCACGCAGCACTTTAAACAATCATTAAAATACAAACACACAGAATTAATTAACAAAACCTAGACATCGTACCAATACATATCCAAATTATCACCACCTAACTTCCCCCATAACGTCCCCGAACTTAACAGGAGACAACAAATTGTTGTTGATGACAAACGCACACTATCTTGACCGTTCAATACCGAACACATGCCCACTGTGCAACAACGCTCCTCTAGACGTTCACCATGTCCTTTCCCTATGCCCTTCTCTCTCCGCACAACGATCCTCATCATTTCCCAATCTAAGCCCCACCCAGGCTTTAGCAAATCCTACTAAAATTAATTCGCAAATGATCCTCACGTTCCTAGAAAAATCAAATATAATCTACAAAATGTAAACTATTCGTTAAGTATATTAGTTCACCAGAAAATGTATATATTTATAAAACTATAAGTAAAATAAAAATTAAATAAATAAATAAAATAAATAAATAAATAAAAAAATGATTCTATAAAATACTAAGCCATCCTCAGAGCTGAAGGCCTCTTGCAGCTATAGCTCTAACCACTACTTTTGTTAGCTCCTAGTTTTAACTATAAGTTAGCATTGTATAAATAAATAAATAAAAATTTGAAAGTGAGATGTTTTTAGTTTGCAATGGCTGCATTGCTTATAAGAACACTGGCGTTGATTTAGGATTAGTAAAATTTTTTTTATTTTAAATAGAAATAATTTTTTTTTACAAAGTATTATATTAAATACGTTCATAAATGTTTTACACAAAGAACTAGCAAAAGTCAAATTTAAAAAATTATTTACTGGTGGACTGATTTTGGGATTTGTCCATAAAATCAATAGGAAGTGCAAAAAAATTTCAGGTCGAATTTTTTGAGTAATAAAATTTAAGCCTGACTTAATTTTAAAAACATTAGTAACTTTATTTAAGTACTTTTGCTCTCATTTTACCCTAGCAGTGGTTGTTATAATTTCAGTCAAAACGTCCATATTACCTTAATCACCGTCACTAACACTTCATTCAATAACTTTTCCATGTAACATCAACATAGTCCTCTTTTAGGACAAAACAATCATTTCAACGCTTTTTCAATCTTTCTATACAACTTTTATAGAACGATTTGTCGAGGCCTTCTACGATTTCTTTTAATCTTAGCATACCAATAAGAAATGATTTATTTTATTGGTGCAGAGTTCGAATAACATTTTTCAATCAATTTCTGTCATTTTTTTTGGATTCTTTTTTTTTTGAAAACCGCAAAAGTAGCGTCACTTACAGCACTGTAACTTGTAAACTACTGGTTGGATTGTCATGATATTTTGACAGTATACCTAAATAGGTTATCGCTTTCGAATGACCATATGGATTTGGTACGAGTAGCGCCATCTACTTAGTAGGGAGTCTTATTTTTTAAATATATTGAACGAAGTACTAGGATAGTCTAGCCATGTCCTTCAGTCCTTCCGTCCGTCCGTCCGTCCGTCCGTCCGTCCGTCCGTCCGTCCGTCCGTCCGTCCGTCCGTCCGTCCGCCCGTCTATCTGTTCGTCCGCCCATCGGTCCAGCTGACCGTCTGTCCTTTTGACTGCCTGTCTGCTCGTTTCCGCGAAAACTAGTTTGTCTGCTTAAAAAGCTATCTGGATGAACTATTTCCAAAAGTCTTTTCTTAACTGCAGGTAGTTTATAAGCTGATTCTGACAATTTTATCGTATCGAAAAATTTCTTGAAATTTATTTTTAAATTTGTACGAAAAAAATTGGAAATGTATTTTTTTTTGGTTTGACAAAATTTTTGACTTAGCTAAACTTCCCAAAACATGTAATGGTTCTATAAAGTATAATTTGTACCCCACTGTTTTCTTACTATTTCAACTCAGCTTTGTTATCTGCCACTTTGCGCACATACCAGAAAGCGGCTTGTGACTCGGATCAGGTGGTTATAGCCTGCCCTCGAGGTACCAGTATTTCTATCGAGTTTGCCCAGTACAACAAGTTCGTTGCGAAAGGTAAGTAAACAAACCAATCCCACTGGATGCTCTTAATGCGACTTTGTGTCTACATTGTGCTCTTGGCTATCTACGTTATAGATGGATACAGTATCGAGGAGCTATGTCCTGTGTCTGGGGAAGCAGGACCTGAAATCCGGGGCAGAACGAAGCATTTGCTCCGAGGATCCATCTTTGGCTCTCCCTTACTGAAAGTACCGCCGAACAAATATATTAATGACGGTCTTGCAGTTCAAGTGCAATCTGCTGGTGAAGCTATCAGCACCATTGCAAGTGGCCCCGTATCGTTCTCCGGAACTACTGGCTCTGTTGACGACGTACAAAGTACCGATTACAACAGTGAAAACTGCATGTGGCCGAATGCATTACAGGTAACAAACTAGAATTCATGTTGAGTCCAAGTCAACTAGATAAAAGATTAATCATCAGCTGTTATGATACTTGCTGAGGGTGTTATAAAATTGTTCAAAAGTTTGTGAAGGAAATCAGCATAACCTTACAAATAGTATTGCCGTTGTCCGTCTGTTTTTATACTGTTCAGCTTAGATTTAATGCTTAGTTTTTGTACTAAATTTGTTATAATAACATATATGAAGCTTTTTTTGTTTTTGTGTACCCTTGCAGAGGGTATTATAATTTCAGTCAAAAGTTTGCATTGAAGTCGCATTGAAGGAGACATCTCCGACCCTATAAAGTATATTCTTGATCAACATCACTAGGAGAGTCGATCTAGCCATGTCCGTCTGACCGTCCGTCTGTCCGTCCGTTTCTACGCGAACTAGTTTCTCAGTTTTAAAGCTATCAGCATGAAACTTTCCCAAAAGTTGTCTTTCTATTGCAGTTAGTATATATGTCGGAACGAGCCGGATCGGCGACTATAGCATATAGGAACAATCGGAAAAATAAATGAACAAAAATTATAACTTTGCTGTTCTATAATTATTTTTTTAGTTCTTCGACATGGATAAATTTTTCAGAATTACGGTTTTAATTTCATAAATTTCACTTTCTTCTACAGTCGATTGTCATTTTGTGATAAAATCTTTCCTTCTTATTTGTTTTCACAATCCTCTCTCTTTTACACTATCCAAATCGTTCGACATTGATAGGAAAAGGTGGTGCGAAAGATCCTCCCATCCAAGCTCTCGGAGTTTTTGGCGAGTCGCTATTGATGTGTGTGGTCTAGCGTTGTCCTGATGGAAAATAATTCCTTTCCTATTGGCGAAAGTGGGGCGCATCTGGGCAATTGCTTCCTTCAGCGTTCCTTTTTTTGACAGTACAAAACCGAACTATCCATAGGGGAACAGCTCATAGTAGATAATTCCTTACCAATCCCACCAAATGGCCCTCAATCCTGGCTTAGCCAACGCCTGGGCCGGCTCATCCTTCTTCGAACATGACCGTTTTCTCCTCAAGTGGTCGTAAGTGACGAACTTTTCATGACCAGTCACCATCCGCTTCAAAAATGGGTCGGCTTTGTGGCGATTCATCGGATATTCGTAGATCGAAATGCGGTCCAAAAGGTTTGTTTTGATAACTCATGTGGCAACCATACATCGAACTTTTTTGAGTTTCCAGCATTTGTTAAATGGTTCCAAACTGTTTTCTGAGCAAAGTTTAGCTCCTGGTCAAGTGAATTACTGCTTAAATGACGGTCAGACTCAACGATTTCCATTATTTTGTCGGCATTTTTGACGATTGGCCTTTCGCAGCGTGCCTGAAATTCAAAATTCACAAAACGAAATCGACCAAACCAAAATTGTGCATGGTTGGTAGTTTCAGTATTAGGGCCATAAACTTTATTTACATTTTCAGCTGCCTGGCTTGCGTTTTCCCTTTTTGTCAAAGCAAAATTTTAAAATATAGCGAATTTTTTCTTTGCCGGTCTCCATATTTATCGAGCTCTCTTTCTCTAACAAGTCGAGCTTCAAAACCAAAAGTATTGATTTCAGAGTGAAATGCTTTACTAAAGTTTCTTTTGAAGCCCTTTATTACAAATAATAACTCCATAAAGCTAGTGGTGGTTGATCTCCGTTTCATAAATCCGTGTTGACACGTGAAATATCTGACTTACAAAGGTGCTGCAAATGTAGAGTTATATTATTTCCAAAAGTTTTGGAATAGCCGATAACTTAGATATACCTCTAAAATTCTTGTCATTTATTTTACTATCTTTCTTGTGAAGAGGAAGTACAAATGACTCTTTCCAAACATGTGGAAATTGGGAAGTTTCCAGTGATAAGATGAACAATTTAAGGAGGGGCTTACCTAAGCACGCAGCTGGTAGTCCGGACAAAATCTCTTGTAGTGGTGTAGGTACTTAAAAATCTATAAGCAATATTTATTATAAAATCTGAAATTTAAATTTCTTAAATGTGTCAGCTCTTTGCTAAACCAAGTTGGTTTGTTGGAGATAGACTACTATCCGTCGGAACACATAAATTAAAAAAAAAATTTTAATAGATGTAATGTTAGGGTCATCACCTATTGTATTGCATGTGTAGAGATCGGACGAATCAAAGTTAGTGGGTTCACTCCACTCCGGATTGTTCGGGTTCCAAATCCGTTTTAGCTGCCAACCTAAGCTGCCTTGGAGGGGCTGCTGGGATCGGCTGGTTATCCATGGTAGCGTTCGCCTGCTGTTCGCCTGCTGTTCGCCTGCTGTGGGCTGCGGGGTGTTCGCCTTTGGGGGAAAATAGCTTGTGTTAATAGCTTGCGGCGGTTGAACTGCGAGTCCAGCGCAAAGAGCAGCTCATTTGCTCAGCGTAAACTATCTCTAGCCTCACCGAAACAGCTGATAAACTCTGAAAGGCCGCCCTTAGTTTGGCGCATGAACGATTTCATCTCGTTCGAAACCTCGACACAGGCATCACAACAAAATCGCACATTGGGCCCCTTAAAAAGGTTAATACATGTTCGGCCTGTAAATCCGGCTCACTTAGAGTGATAGTTATATTTGACTAGTCAGGCCTAACTATCAGACCGCATTTCTTGAGAATCACGGAAAATGTTTATTCATGTTTATACTGAATGGGACGACCACTGTACCAGGGAACGGGAACTGAAATTTGTAAGCGAAAAGTTCAAGGATCCGTAAGATATTGAATTTTTTTTAAAAATAGTACTCCTTAGGTCGCGACACACAGTGTAAAAATTGTAGTTTTTAAGACTGGTCTAAAGGTGAATTTGATTATATAGATAGCTATAATTATAACAAAGAACACAAAAGGGTTCATTTGATGTACATATTGGCAAGTTATGAGAATGGTAGTTGCGGGTTGGACTAAAAGCACATAAAAAGTTAAGCGGCATACCAATTCTATGGACTCAATATCATCTTTGACAAGATTGTGCATAAAAATAGTTCCAAGAATGATTCAACAATTTACAAGAGTAGGTAAATTAAGCAATAGTAGTTTTCTGATCCCAGTTCAAACCACGAAGGGCGAGAACAAGACAATTGTTTGTAACGACTCAAAACAATCACTGTGTACTTGATATTGGGAACTTCAAATGGGAGCGCAATGTTCTACATAAGGACGGACAAGGTAGACAAGTAAATAATAATTTAGTTGTATAAGATCTTCAAATTCTTTCGACCATCGATTTATAAACACAAGAACACTCATAGTCTAGTTAACAGTAAAATTGATGTGACAGCCGAATTTTAATTTTGGGTCAAGAGGAACTTCTAAATCGTTGACCGAGTATATACGGTCTTCATAACATGAAGAAAATAGTTTATAAATGAAGGCTTAACCCTATAAAAAGTCATTACGTAACATTTAAGGAAATTCAGATTTAAGAGCTTAGATTGACAACATCTCTGGAAATAATCAATACCACACTGTAATCCGAACCCCGATTGCAAGTTATTATAGGATAAACAACGTTTTACGTCATCAGCATTGTTACATTGTTACTCGATGTGTGTGTTATGCCAATGTGTTATGCCAGAGGAAAGATCATTGATGAATAAAGTAAATAGCAATGGGCTCAAATGACTACCCTGAGGCACTCCAGATGTTACGTTAATCATATTGGAAACAGCATTTTTAGAAACAACCCTTTACCCATACTTAAATATAAGAAGAGAATGGTTAACAGAATCAAAAGCCGTACTAAAATCTGTATATTTAACATCCGTCTGCATTTTACTATTAAATCCTTTAACTACAATAGATGTCAATTCAAGTAGGTTCGTGGTAGTTGACCTTCGCTTAAGCATGCACACAAGAAGCCCGTCCGACCCTGGAGAGTATGTTAGTGTTGTGGTCTCAAAATCCCTTAGAAGAGAACTTTCTCTTTTGCCGGGGAAAAATACAATTTGACCTGTTAAAATTGTAAGAGTAATTTGCATTTAGACAAGAGTTTATTGGTAATTTGGAAGAACTTGTCAAATATATCAGCAATTTCAGAGTCAGTCAACGCCTCAATTGAGTTTTATCGTACTGATGAAGAGAGGTGCCTAACAGCGAAACAGAACAGACGCGTTTATAATAGTTCAAAAGATAATTTAGTTTAAACCTAGTATTTTAGGTCGATATTTCCGGCTTAAAGCTAAACTGGTATCTTATCATCACCGTTGAAAACAAACATTGTCACTGATTTCTTTAAACTTTAAATGATTTAAAATGCGTAAGCTATAAATTTGGAGACCGTCACGCGTTTTTGTATATCTGCAATTAACTCGGTACTCGCTTTTGCGTGTGTGTATCGAACCTGCGTCTGCCGCCATTTTTAAGCATCGTACTCACCCTCACATATCCACTTGCCACTCATCACGTCAAGTGCAAGTCATTGAAACAAGCGTTCGCGTAGCTGCACCAACAACAATGTTGGTGGCGCCAACGAGCGCTTGTCTGATGCGCCGTTACCTCAGCTCCTAGAGATGCTCAACTAGCGATGACTTAAGCAAACAGTGAAAATCACTAAGTTCGACCAAGCAACAACTTAGCCTGCAGCTAAGGGGTTTCGCAAGCCGCTCTTTACATTAATAGCCAACATTTAAGAGAGAACTACTTGATTTTTAAGGAGCCAATGAAGCTTAAGAAGCTTACATTTTTTCGGCAGTGTTTACTCGCACAGGCCTCGTGCACTGAGCGCATGGATGAGCTTTCGGCGCTCTCTCACGATCTGGCCGTCGATTACCAAGCCTCTCTTCACCTCTCCTCATCGACTACATTTACTGGCGCTTCGTCTGGATCGCATGAGACGGCTTTTAGCCATCAGAGCTTTCGCCATTAAACTTGCAACACTGTATTTATTTTTATATTATATTTTATATTTATTTTTATCTTTACTTGTATCTTTTATTTATTTATTTTTTTTGTCAATTTTTTTGTCAATTTTGCAACTAACCTTATGTCTC